TACCCAGCTCTGAATGTATGTTTCTTCTTAAGAGTTTTGGTCTTCAATTTTATTATGTGTACATAATATATTTTAAAGCAGAAACTACATATTTTAGCACAACAGTTGCCTTTTCTGCATTGCATGAAAATGTGCCATCTGCATACAGGTAACATTTTGATGTATTCATGTGAAAGTTAAATTGTTCCAGGCTGAGCTTGCAATTTAGTGGTGATGAATAAACTTAGCTTAAAACCTTCAAGTGGCCTGAAATTTCTTTCCTTAACTAAGACTAATTTTGGATTGTGAAGGTTGCAGCTTTGTTAATCACTGTGGTTTGTTAGGCCTCATTTCGTCTTTTAGAAACTAATGGTACATACAGTCCACCTTCCCTTAAACTCTCAGAGGAGAGAGATACAGATGTTACATTATATCAGGCCCCCATGTATGGGGTTTTATATGACTTCCATCACCCCACTTGGAAGGGGGAAAATTTCTCTATTTTTACACATCCTTCACCAGTTCTATGTCCCCTGATGTCATCTGTTGTTTCACAAAGGGAACAAATTCCACTGAAAGGGTATGAAATCTCATAGCACAAATAGTCTAAGATGGAGTAGTTATCTTCTAGTACCACCTCTTGGAAATAGCAAGTGAGATAGGAATGAGATTCTAGAGATTGATTGCTTCTGTGTCCCCATCCTGGATAAGGGTGTTACGGTCAATTGTACAAAAGCTGCTGAGGAGTTACCAGATCATGTCCTTGTCTTCCTGGCACAGATCTTCAAGATGAGTTGCAAAATAAAATTCAGTAGTGAATCCATTTCAGAAATCTGATTGGAATGGACAATCTGCTCTGCCTAAATTGCTTACAGCTTTACAACTACAGTATTAAACATCTCTGTTTCTGCTCCAAAAGCAAAGAGATTCTTTTACTCCACAACTTTAATTTTATTATTTAAGCTAGCCTTTGCTCCCTTCAATCTTGTATAATAAATATACTAAATTAAAATGGGAGATAATAATATTTCATCTTATCTTTTCTGTATTGGCATACTACCAGGACATTTTTTGTTCCCACAACAGCATTTAGAAACAATCAAATAAACCAAGGTGTGTGCGTGCATGTGCATGTACATATACATATACGTATGGTTTTGGTAGATGCTAGACAAGGTCCTATTGCAATCCCTACTGTATTTTTGACCTTCTGGTCTCTTTTCATTGATAGCTGATTGTCCATATAACATAGCAACCCTGTTAAAGTAAATCTGTCCAAGTAAATATATCCACTGGTTTACATTTAAGAAAAATATTTTGCAGCCTTGGATAGAATAAACTGGTGCTTAGAGAAACCTTTGAGACTACTTAATTGTGACAGCATTGTACACATGTATATGGAAACTGTTTTTAAAAATTCTGAAAAGATCCATCATTTTTGCTAGGATTTTAATGTTCGCTGTTAAATTATTTTAGTTCCAATTTGTTATTTTCTTTTTCTGTGTTTTAAACATGATACATTCTGTTTTGGTTTTAAAATTTTGTTAGCTGTCTGGACTACTCACCAGAGTAGAAAGGTAGCTTAGAAATCTAATTTAAAAAAGACAAAATGGGGACAATATGATGCTAAAAACACAATTCTGTCTCCATTCCACTCTGATTTCAAGTGAAAGTTTATTATCTAAACCACCATTGTTACACTGGCTGATAATCTGGAACTCTTAGCAGTCACTAAAATCAAAAACTGTTGAAGATGCAGATTTTGGGAACTTTTATCCTCTTTCTCTCTTTTTCTCTCTGAAATTTATTCACCACCTCAATCCAACTGGAATTGAGGGCTGTTTACAATGTATATAATATAATACAGTAATAAGAGTACAGTAAAATAAAATACAGCAAATACATAGCTAAAATAACTGTATAACCTACCTTGATTGCCCAAGAATTAATCCTGAAATGCCCTTCAGAAAAGCGAGGGCAGGGCTTTGATTGCCTGATTGCATGCACCATTTTGAAGCCAGTGCCCATTGCTGCAGACACCTTTGCAGCTGCCTCTAGTTATTAGGACTTTGCCACACTTTAGCTTTGAAAAAAAAAATGGGCCTCAGAGCACGGTGCTCTAATAGCTCCTGCTGGGATCTCCTTAAAGCAGCAATATCTCTGGGATTATGCAGCTGCCCCCTAGCTGCAGTGCAATCCCAGGAAAGGACATGTCTGTTTTAAAGAGTTGCTATGGAATACTATGCATGAGCCCCCAAATACACCAAAGCACTTTTTTTTCTTTTCAGATCAGAAGTACTGCACAGTCCTACAATATACATTTAATGGGGTTGGTTCTGCTTATATCTTTGCTAAATACTCCAGTGAATGAACCAGAGGATACTGACCAAGGTTATTGCAACACTTTTCCCCTATACATGTAGTCCTCACTTAATGACCATTTATGTGTGAGCCCTCCCAGATTTATGACCACAGGGTGTGCTTCGACAACCCTGACCTGCCTGTCTTCCCTCATATCTACCTTTTTGGCCCTGTGCACTCTGCAGCCCCTTCTACCCTGCGCTCTGCCATGCCCAGCTGACCTTCACTGTCTTCTGCCTCCTGCTGCTGCTGAGGCATGCCCAGCCTGGCCCTTCATGAGGCAGCTGCTGGCCATGTGCAGCCTTCCTAAGGCCTCATGAGGTTTCCTTGTGAGACTCGGGAAGAAGGCCTCATATGGCCAGCAGCTGCCTCGCAAAGGGCCAGGCCAGGCACACCTCAAGACGGCAAAGGTCAGCTGAGGGCAGTGGAGCTCAGGGCGGCAAGGACGGCTGTAGTTGGAGTGGCTGGGGCTTCCTGCTGCAGTGCTGGGCTGGGGCAGCTGCAGCTTTGCACCATGCTGCGGTGCTGACCTGGGCTGCAGCAGCTGCGGCTTCATGAAGGGCCAGGCTGGGCATGCCTTGTCCTCAGCAGAAGATGGCGAAGGTCAGCTGGGGGTGGCAAGGACAGCGGAGTGTAAGGTGGCTTATGTACTCTCCTGCCCCTGACAGCAGCCACCCCTTGCCCAGCTGTACTTGTGCCAGGCTGCAACAGCCACTTACCCGCCTGCCAGCCTGCTTGTGAGCCACCTGGGACTCGCGACTGTCTGCCAGCTTCCCCATTAACTATGCTTGTTGGAAGCTGGCAGGCAGTCATGAGGAGGTCCTTGCTTAATGACCCGTGTGTCTCTCTTAATGGTGGCAACGGAGACTGCTGGGATTGCAGCCACTAAGCAATGCAATCACATGATGTTGCGCTTTATGACCACCTCACTTAGCAATGGAAATTCTAGTTCCAGTTACCGTCATTAACCAAGGACTACCTGTAATGTCTTACTGATTCAGCTTTTGCTACAGTTGGACACACAGTACTGGAGTAGTTTCATGCTTGCCTGAAAAATTAATTCAATAAGATGGCATTGGTTTGTTTTATTCATCCACATGGCTAATAAGTTACACAGGGCCCCATGCTGTTCAAAATAATATGAAGCCTCTGGGTTAAATCAGTGGGTTTGGAATTGTAGGCCCTGAACACAGAAGCTACTGATGAAAACATACTCCCTGGGGCAATTATTAATAGTTCAGCCATCTGAATGTGAAGGGAAAGGGAGAAATACAGAAACTGAAATTTAACTATCAAGAGACTACAAGGGGCAGGATCACTGCCAGGAATTAGGGTCTTGGTATCCTCTTTTGCCTACCAAGCTATGTATAAGCAATGTGTTTTTTTAGTCATTTAAAACATTTATATGGCTGCCCAACTTAACCAAGATATACAAAACCACTATACAAACAATAATGAACAATAAAACAACAAAATGGCAATCCAAACAGCAATAACACCATTATTCAATCGGGGCTCCAACACATCATGACTAAAAACCCCAGGTAAAGAGCTAGGTCTTGACAGCTTTCTAAAGAACAGCAGGATCAGGGCCAACCATATATCAAGAGGAAGGTTGCTTCATAAGATGGGGACCACCACTGAAAAGGTGTGCCTTCTACGTGCCACAAGATGACACTGTTTCAATGAAACGATCTGGAGTGAACACTCCCTATCAGAGCATGTGGGGCTGGCCAATACCCTGGGAAGAATAACCTGGTTCTATGGAATATATGGCCTTAAAGGTGATAATTAGCACCTTGAATTGCATCTGGAAGCCAACTGGGAGCCAGTGCAGCTTGTGGATTAGTGGTGTCATGTAGGCATAGTGAGAAACACCCATAATTATTCATGCCACTGCATTCTGGACCAACTGTAGCTTCAGGACGGTTTTCAAGGACAGCCCCATGTAGACTGCATTGCAATAATCCAACCAGCAGGTAACTAAGTCATGAAAGACCATTAGCAGAGCCTCTCGATCCAGGAAGGGGCACAATTGGCACACAAGATGAAGTGGTGCAAAGCCCATCCCCTGGACACACCTGCCACCTGCTCCTCAAGCAGATGTGAGTCCAGGAGGACTCCCAAATTGTGCCCTGAGTCTGAGTGGGACAGTGAGTTGTTGGACTTGGGTAACCCAAGTTCAAATCTATTTTTAGCCATGGAATCTCATGGTATGATTTGGGCTCAGACATTTGGCTCTCTGTTCAGTATTCCTGCTTTTTGTGCTCTCTTGATAGTTTACAGCTTAGCTGTGGGAAAAATCAGAGGAGGAAGTGATATGCCATCTTGAATTCTTGGGGGAATGTGGAATTTTTTTTCCAGGAATATTCCACATTTACACAATCAGTAAACGCCTGCACCACAGTTGTCTTGTGAAATGTATATGTTACTAGCATTCTACTTAATAGCTATTGGTTTTCCTCCAATCACTTCTGTGAGAATCCTAATATATTCGTATTTACAGAGAGCTTGTAGGTTTTGTGGTTATTTAATATATTTCATAATATAAATGAGACATCATAGTTTAACATTGGCTTGATGGATCTCTTCAAAAACTCATGATTTCAATTCATTGTGAACATTTTAAATATAACTTTGGGTATTTCTCTTTTCTGAAGTATGTGAACTTCCTTTTTATGAAATATGCCAGACAAATGTATCAAGAATCGAGTGCACAGAGTTAGGATGCTGTTACTACAAAGAGACATGCTATAAGAAAGCTGTACCAAGTAAGTTATTATCACAATAGCTCAACAAATGCATTTGGTAGAAACTACAATAACATGTATAGCAATAACAATAACATGTGTCATGACACTATGCAAAAGACCCAAGTTACATCCTTTGTGTTATTTGCATGTTGCATGATGTACAAGTCATCACTTGTCTCCCTGTAGACACCCTTGCAACCTGTTCGTGTGGTTGCTAATTTTCCAAATAAATCTAACGCTCTTATTTCTTGTTTCAAACAGAAAACAGATCTGATATTAAAGGGAACAAGGGTGGACTTTCAACAGAAAGGAAAGGGTTACTTATGTTGTACAGCATAAACATATATTAGGAATTATTTTTAAATATCTTTTTAAAAAATTCCTGATATATTTTTATGCTGTGCAACAGCAATAGACTTGGGGATGACTACAAAGACCAGTCCTAAACACGATTGCTACTGGGCATATATTAGTATCTGCATAGCGTGTAAAGGCCATTTTTCATCAGAAATTTAACAGCAGCCAGAATTATCTACAACTTAAAACTTGGGGAAAAATATTTTGAATTGGTGAGCCACTTTTAGGTATCTGAGTTCTTTCTCTTTTTATAAAATGAAAAAGACTTAAAAAGCAACACGCAAAACAAAGTTAGAAAAGATAAACCATGGAGTTACCCATCTTCCCCATTTTTCAAAAACGGGGGAAAAACTTCATCTCCCCCCCCCCTTTTCCTCTCTCTTTCAAAAGACCCCTTGTTGTTCCCTCTCTGAGGAATTAGTGTTCTCTGACAGCAAGCGGATGTTAAAACATTTCCCTTTTCCCAAAGTTTATTAGCGAGCAGGCAACAATGACCATCACAGCCCTCTGCGAATGTTCTGGAGAACATAAGAACAAAACTTCATAAACACCCTGCCATCAGAATCTCCAGGTGTGTCAGTTCCTGCCCCTGCAGCCTTAGATATTCCAGATTGAGCAGGAAGGTGTGAAGGAGAGTTTTACTTGGAAGTAGATATTACTCTCCTTCAGAGATCTCTGTTTGCCAAGCACAGAGTTAGAACAGCTCAGTCTGGTAAAGCCCATTTTCACTTGGGGTGGGAGCTGATAGTGGTGAAGGACATAGTGGGTGAGCCAGCAATTCTCTGTCACCATTTTTACACTCAGATGTTCTCCAGAATGAATGAAGAGGGCTTTGGTGAACTTCTTGCTCCATTCCTCTTCTTTCTTGCTTTGTAAGCATCGAATGAATAGAAGGCACTAAACGCATAGGTGCTGTGTCTCATTCATGATAGAGATTCTTCAATTTCACATAAGCAAACTACCATTTAAGCCAACAAGGTTCTGAATTATTTATTAGCCAGAATAGAAGGGGCACAGAACATAGCTTTCTAGAGAACTTGTACATTTATCTGCTGCCCAATAATAAGAGTTCTTTAGATAATGTACAAAATTTAAAAAAATACATGGCACTATTTATCAAATTGATTAATTTATTTAAGGAATTATTTACTAAATTACTAAGGTAACATCTCCATTTTCTCTAAATTACCGAGAGTCTGCTGGAAATGAAGTGGCTTAGAAATGCTGTAAAATAAATATATCATTATGCATGAGTCTAGCAGATCAAAGGGCTGTGAACTTAATAAGAAGGCCCATAATCAGCAGTTCAGGTGAGGCCAAGGAACAGACAAAATCTAGGGGCTTTATAGACCACCTAAGGAGCAGCCACACTCTCTGTCCTAGCTGAATTCCAATTTAATGAGAGAAACTTTTAGAATAATACTTGCAAAGCAAATTAAAATGTGCTTTACCAGACTGAATGCACCTCTGTCTTAGGTGTGTGCCTGGCAAAATATTCTGTCACTATACACAAGATCCAGGGTAATGTGTGGCATGACTCAACCAGTGGTGATTTGCAGAAATTTTATTAAAAGTTTTAAAAAGAAGATAAAAACTAACAAAAACTAATACAAAGGAAAGAAAGGAAAGAAAGAAAAAAAAGACAAAGACAAAAAGAGACAAAAATGCAAAAAGATAAAAAGAAATAGAAATTTCCAATTTCCTTTGCAGCAAATATAAATATGATTACAAAATTACCTCGTATGCTATGGTTACAAAAATAACTCTTTTTTCTATTAATATTTTCTAATAATCGAAACCACAAATCAAAAGTTAATTTTTTTCTGTTTCACCCAAAATGTCTATAAGGGGTTTCCAGTCAGCAATAAATGTAGATGTTGTCTTTTGCTAATCAAAGAAATAAATTTAGCCATCTCTGCAAGTTCTGTCATCTTCACCAACCATTCCTCCACTGTGGGTAGTACCGAATCTTTCCACTTTTGAGCATATAATAATCTTGCTGCAGTTTTCATATATAGAAACAAAGATCCATGACTTTTTTCCACCTGTTTATCCATTAGTTCCAAGAAATAGTTGAGATGAGTTTGATTCCTCTGTACAAATTGCCAAGAGCCAATGAGAAAGAGAAGAAGGAAGGGGAGGGGAGGGGAGGGGAGGGGAGACCAGTGTATCTCCTGTTGAAGATTGTTTCTTGGAGCCCAGGGTTGGAGCAGCCTCAGGAAAGTTTGGGTTTAGGAATGAAATAAAATAACCTTATTCTAATTAGCTTTCATTATTAGGAGGACCTTCTCTGAAAAAGTGAGCCTTTTGTTTCTATACTAGTAGAATCCAGGTTCTACGATTGGAGAGGGTAAAATATAAAAGGTTGAGAACCACTGATCTAATGTGTGCACTTGTATGTCATTCACAATCACAATTATGTGAGGAAACCCCTGGGGAAAAATGGAAGGAATTAGCCTCAGAGAAAATGTGTTCCTAGATGTTAATAGCTACTATAACAGAAGTACTATACTATATCTCCTCTGTGTAGCTAACCATTCAGGTGATTTGAATAACTGCTGCATCTGGCAGAATCAGAAACATTATTTTCCTTTCTTATGTCTCTCTTTAAACTGATGTTACACCACACACTCCCTAAAGCAGAGGATGTCTTAAAACAGAGCTCTGTTTTTTGTAACGCACAGACTAATATGCAGATGTGCCAGTTTCTTTTCTTTTCAAAGATTGTCTCCCATTCTTTCCAAATCGTAGATAAAGGAAAGTGTATTACAATTCAGTGGAACATCCTGGCTTTTTAAAGTCATGCCCCAGGTTGTCATGTACATCCTTAGTTGTCTGCAGAGGGAGCAAGGGGCATAAATGATGGAATGAGTGATGATGTCATTATGCAAATTCCATAAATTACATACTTCTGTCAGACATTGAGATGCAAGTACGCAATCACATTTGTGTGATGACATCACCATGCATGAAACATTATTTTAGCATTATTGTGGTTTGATGCAGATAATGCTGTGGTCATGAAAACAGCTGCTGCTAATTTAGAAATGTGCTTGCTGTGATCACACAGGATACCACTATTCTTTTGTATTAAAGCTGCACCTTATAAATAAATTTAAAAAATAAAAATTTCTACCTTGTTTGAGGGTTGAAGAAAGTTGTATTTTTCTTTCACTTTTTAGGCTATATGAAAGCATTTGTTGCCTTAATAGTGATTATACTGGCAGTGTTCTCTTTATTTATGCTGAAAAGGTAAGATGATGATTCAAGTCAGCTTGATTGCTCAGAGGTTGACCTTCCATGGACTGCTGGTAGTATTCCAGGAAAAAAATCCCAAGAAAATATTCTTAAGGATACAATCAGAGAAGGAAAGGATTTTTTGCTCATGTTGATCTGTGCATGTGTACATTGATGTATAGATTCTGATGGGTGCAATTTTTATAGAGGAATTGTTTAAAACATTACAAGAACTCAGACTAAAGTTTATACATTTATACTAAATTGCTATTGAATTATTTTATTTGTGAAAATCTTTAGTTTAAATATAAATACTGGATTCATGTAATGCACTAAGCCAGGGGCTAAGGCCGCACATAAGAGAGTTGGGAGCCACAGTGGGCAAGATGATGATGTAAAGTGGACAGGCCTATGTCATGTATATCTTTTATATATATATATAATATATGTATATATATATAATTAAAAGTTTTAAAAGCAATAATAATAACTAATACAAACTAAATCAGAACAGAGAAAATGAAAAAAAACCCAGAAAAAGCTAAAAGTGCGATAAGAAAATAAAATAGAAAAAATAGAAAAAAAAGAGATAGCTATAAAGAAAGATATAAAGATATAAAGAAGTAGCTACTGATATTCTCCACAGCAGTTATAAGTACAATTATATTTTAACCTCTCTCTCTAAAGTTACATTATGACTCTCTTCTTTCTATAATCTGTTCTGTCTAATCATCAAAACCATAAATCACAAATTCATTTTTTTCATTTTTACGCAAAAAGTCCATAAGGGGTTTCCAGTCACCAATAAATATAAATATTGTCCTTTCTATAATCGAAGAAGTCAGTTTGTCCATCTCAGCAAGTTCTGTCAATTTCAACAACCATTCCTCCATGGCGGATAATGCTGAATCTTTCTGTCTTTGTGCATATAATAATCTCACCACAGTAATCATATATTGAAATAATGTTCCATAGCTTTTTTCTAACTGTTTGTCCACCAATCCTAAGAGGAAGAGTTCTGGCTTCAATTGAATGTTAATCTTTAAAATCCTCTGTATCAGTGTATGTATCTGAATCCAACA